TTTAGCACGCAGCAAGTCAATTGCCAGTTTCATCAACACAACTCACTTGCTGCATTGCTGCATGGTAGTCCACAATTCAATGCCTGTAATAATGATTGTCACAAAATGGCAAAGAACATGGCATTGCATGTTGTACATGCCATTCAAATATGGCAATATTGGATTGATTGCCAAAAATGGCTATGTTGTACATATTGCCACAAAATGACATTATTGTATATATTGCCAAAACTCGCAAATTAAAATTGTCATGTTGAGTTGATATGTTTGTGGCACACAACTTGCCACGTTGCCACAAACCATTCAAGAAATTGCTCCAATATGGTTGCATTTTGCAATGGCCAAAACATGGCAAACATCAAAAAGCACCTGTGACCATGTGTCTATAGCAATACTTTTCAATATGTTGCGTCAATTTTGGTAACACTTGTTTTTTACAATTTGCATACATGTTGATGTCTAATTCTTTTGATTATGCATGAACAAGTGTGCACTGAAAAACAAATGTAATCAGTTTTCATTTATCAAAACATGTTTTCATCCTATTTTTGTGAAGTTAGTAACATCATGGTAACACTGCTAACTGTTAGCAGAGTTAGCAGTGTTAGTGTTAGCCTTGTTATCTTAGTTAATTAACTTTTACTGAAAGTTAATATCATATATGTAAGCGTTAGCATTGTTACACCATGTTACAACTATGTTATGACCATGTTAGCTAACTCTCATAACAACAAAAGCGGACAATGTAAGCAAGTGGCCACTCCCGATCGTTGCCAGGCGATTGACCCACCAGCGTCCATCTCGTCCTCGATGTGCCAAGTAGTCACCGTGGTAGGAGACAATGGTTTGCTTCATCCTCATCACTCTGGAACCAATTCAGCTCCTCCATCAAGTAGGAAGAATGGAATCCCTCCCAGGGCATCCCTGACCTTCAAACGACCACGTCAGTCACAGTCGATCATTTTTTGGCTTGGTCGACGTTTTTTCGGCGTGGTCGACGTTTTTTTGGACCATCGTTGCTTTTTTGGCTTCTTGCCTCCGCAACCAAAAAAAGTAAAAAAAGATCACACTGGCTGTGAAATTGATTGACCGTATTTTGGCAGGGTTGAACGTATTTTGGCAGGGGTTGACCGTGTTTTGGCAGGGGTTGACCGTATTTTTGCGGGGGTTGACCATATTTTGGCTAGGGCGCTTTTCAGGGTGAATTCTGCAAACTATGAGGGAAGGAAAATTGAACACAGATCTTGCTTTCATGTTGGATTGGAGCTATTTTGGTCTGGAGATGAATTACAATTTATTACGATTCAGCACCATACACTATAAATGCTTGACACGCTTTAAATGATTATACCTTTGTCCAGCTTTCGGGCCAATTTCTACTACGATGATTGGCAAACACTCATGCTTGAACCTTTTGTCGTCGTGACTTGCTTGGCTCAAAGGGGTACCGACCAAGTGCAGTGGTCACGGGGCTGGCGCTTTGACTTCTCAAGGCTGCAAGGCCGGGAATGGCCTTGCAGGGACTGGCCAACTCACGTGACTTCTGATCAGGATGGAGGAGACCCAACTGGACGTGCCCTGCTTCATATAAAGATATTTGCAAAGCATATATATGTAAACAATGATTTTTCATTTTTATTTTTTAAGCTTTTTTGTTCACGTTGCTCGACGGTATTTTGGCAGGGGTCGACGGTATTTTGGCAAGCTCTAGGTTTCGTGCTCGTGCGATATACTTTCTTTTAGTCAAATTTTGCAAAAAACGTGCGTTTTTGATAAAACGCGCGGAAAAAGCGTACGCTTTTTGGGTTCCGGCAGGGCCAGAAAGGTAAAAATTAAAGGAACTCACGATCATCAGCAAAAAGCGTACGCTTTTTTGGTTCCGGCCGAACAAAATTGTAGCCGGAAAGGAGAAAAGAAAAGGAATGAGAGCAAATGTGTCTAGAGAAAAGGAAAATTTGAGGAGAAATGCAAAAAGCATACGCTTTTTTGGTTCCGGCAGAACAAAATGTACGTGGAAAGGGAAAAAGAAAAGGAACGAGAGCAAGTGTGTCTAGAGAAAGGGAATAATTTGAGGAGAAAGGCAAAAAGCGTACGCTTTTTTGGTTCCGGCAGAACAAAATGCACCCGGAAACGGAAAAGAAAAGGAATGAAAGCAAATTGGTCTAGAGAAAGGGAAGAATTTGAGGAGAGAGGCAAAAAACGTACGATTTTTGGGCTCCGGCCAAGGCGCATGCTAAGAAAACGCGCGCAGAAAGCCCAGAGATATAGCTATCGATATCATATAGCTAGGGCCAGCCTAAAAAAGCGTACACGCCAAAAAATGGACAACGGCGTTTTTTCGGCGCGCTCGACGTTAAAAGAGCAGGGGTCGTCCAAAAACCGGCGTGGTCGACGTTTTTTTGGCTCACCGACGTTTTTTTCGGCAAGTTTTGACCAACGACCGCGCCACACACAGACATTGGAAGGTCAGGGCATTAGTGCACACCATGCATCTGGAGATGGCCCTCTGGTATTCGCCATTGCCAAACTTGAAGCGAGGCCTTGGTTCCAGCTCGATGTCATAGGGAAACATCGCCGAGTCGATCAGCTGTGCCATCGACCTGACACCTGCCACGGACTCAGTTGCTCCTGTATCGATCACCACCTTGGAGACAGACATGGCATTCAGTTCACGATCTTCTGCCAGTCTCAACACGTTGATCTCGGCCTGGTAGTCGAAGTCACCCCTTCCGGCTCTTGCCACCGAACTTGCTCTTGCCCTTGGCCTTGCCAGATGAACCCTTTGGAGACGAAGACGGTGATCCCTTCGAGGTTCCAGTTGACCATCTACCTGGGCATTTCGCAGCTATGGCCGAGCTGGCCGCAGATGAAGCGTGGTCCAAAGCCAGTGCCCTTGCCCAGCTCCGAAGGACGAGAGTTGCTTGCCCTTGCCTTTGCCCTTGGGACCGCCGTTCATGCCCACGGGGTTGTAGTAGCCGCGAGCTGCCCGCACCCGAGCAACGGCTTGTTTGGCTTCAGCCAAAGTCTTGTTCTGCTGCAATGGTGTAGGCCTCTTCAAGGCGTTTCTCGCCTTCTGCTTCTTCGGCTGTCTGATCTTGCCCATCACCTTCACCAGGATATAGGCTCTCACCGAGGTCGAAATCAGCCTCATAGTAGGAGTCATCATCCCAGCCTTGCGATGGGGACCAGTCCTGCCAATAGGCTTCCTCAGCCCACCAAGCGGTTGGATCTTCCGCCTGCTGCCACCAGTCATCAGGTTCCAGCCATTCTCCACCTTCATCAGCATACCACACATGCCGTCGAGGGTGTCGTCCGAGGTCATCACCTTGTTCAGCTCCATCAGAAAACAAAGACCTCAAAGCTTGTCGGATCTGGTGGAAGTGGGTTGAGTTGCGAGTCAACGTCAACATATGTTGGCGTTCAGCTTGAGATAGCTTTGCAGACTTCAGCAAGGGATATCCTCTGAGTTCATGTTCAAAGAACTCTGCACTCTCACCTGAAGTTGTCAGTGGAGAGGTCGTCGGTCGAGCTGGCTCCTCATCGAAGGAGATGTCTTCTCTACCAGCGCCAAGTCCAGCTCTTGTGACATTCGGTGACCTAGTCGGCGAGATCGGAGGATCATGCTCACTTGCCCCAACTCCCATGGACTTCACCCCTAGCTTGGCCTTCTCGTGCCTGGCCCTTTGCAGGGCCTGTTGTAGCTCCACGAAGAGCTGCTCGCGCACCAGGAGTTGTGGAATGCTTTCATTCCCAAGCCGCCTGAGGTTGGACCACCTCTCCAGGCGGGAGAAGCTGTCCGGGATGGGCAGCTTCTGGAGGGGCGACTCCGAAGCACCGCCATGAGCCGCTCCAGGCCGCCATCCGTCGAGAAGTCCTTGGGCTCGAGGTGCTTGACCACGCTCCTGGCAACTCCGCTCAACCTTTGCCAAATGCGGGGTGCCGCTAGCTTCTTCTCATTGTCCTTGAGGCCGGACTCATACCACTTGCAGCTTGTGGCGAAGCTTTCAAAGCTCGCCGGGTCTCCATCCCATGTCGGGATCTCTTCACCGCTGGGCATCGAATGCCCCCAAGCAGCCGCCGCCGCCGCCGCCAAGGCGCACAGAACCAGCAGCTCCGCTACCATGCACGAAGGCCTATGCCAAAGGCCTACCGCGGTCCACGATGGACCAAATCGCGCGCGTCCCGCGCTGTTTCACACCAGCGCTCAAGCTCGAGCCCCGCCCTTGCGGGATGTGAACAAACATGACAAAAAGGTCAAGATGCATCTCTGTACTTGCAGTAAGAAAGACATAGAGAAAAGGGTTGCGCGAAGTAGAGAGGTGCATGAAGTGGACAGGGCGCTATTGAAGCGAAATTGACACGTCCCAGGGCGAGTTGGACCCCAAAGGGGTCCCCTAAAATCAGGAATGGCAACTGACCCCAAACTCACATCATTTGGGATGATCCTGGCCCTAAGCTAAAGCTAATTGACTTCAGGTTGCCTGAGTCAATCTTTTGTGCTATTTCCAGGATTTACCTTGATACTGTAGCCTTTGATAGAAAAAAAAGGGGTCTGTACAGTCTCAAAGCAATGCAATTGCGACGACCATTGTGTGGAGGAGTTCTAGGCATTCTGCACCTTTCAGCCTGTTCGACTCTCGAGCTTCACAAAACTGGCGGCGAAGCCAAGTAGCTACAATGGGTAGTTTAAGAACAGTCAGTGTTCCCTTCGTTCAAAAGATATACAGATATACAGTACCATACCCTTGCCGCTAGATATCAAGTAAGTCTTTAGTCACCATTATATAATGGCTGCGTTTGAGAACTCAGAATGATGTTTATCGTGAGGGATGGGTGGAGATTGCATTGAACAGCAGCAGAAACACTAAGTATCAAAAACACTTTAGCGGAAAGGCAACAAGCCGCTGCAGTAAGTGTAGATGGTGTTCGAACTCGAGTGTAATCTTCGTTGTAGCTCATCGATGTCCCATGTATCAAATGCTGCAAAACATCCAAGTTGCCTTGAGCAAACGAGTTTGCAAACGAAGGCGAAGCCATGAACTGTTATTGACTTGCAGTTCTTGGCGCACATGCAAAGTCATGAAATATGAACCATGTGACGTTGAACCCTTGCCCACCGTCAGCTTCACATCAACCCAAATATTCTGCCAGCCGTTCATCTGCACCCAATCACGAACGAGAAACGCAATTCATCTTGAGTTTCAATGACTGATTTTACCTGATCACCTAACCAATTGAAGATACCTCTGGTTCACAACATGGAGCCTAAATGGCTGCGTGGTTTTGCTCGCGTTGAGCACCACTCATTGTGTCCAACCGATGAACACAAATAGTGTATGTGCTTTGCTGATGTTGACAAGCCGGGATGCTTGGTTGTGGGGTCTGCAGAATGTCCTCTGTCGTTTTGCTTTGGGGTATCCTCTACAATCCCCCACAACCCAAAGAACAACGAATTCAAGCGCACGTATCTGTAGGTTTGGAACAGTAGTTGCCGTGGCTGATGCTGGAACAAAGGAGAACAACACATTTTGCCTGCAAACCGCTGGGCAGCCGCTTCTTTTCCGTCGGAACTGCTTGCAGCCATCTGAACATATTAGGGCAATGTAGTCTGGCTTTGGTGAACTGCTGCATGCTCGGCATGACCTGTTGATGAAAAAAACACAACACCCATTGCTTATCTCACACAACCAGCCTTCAGTTCACAAGAGGCAGGTCGACAAGGCCCACATCGTCCTGCAGAGAATGCAACACATAAAATGAAATGTCAAGTTAGAAAACAGAGTTGACACATTTTGCGACCGCAAAACAAATGCGGAGGAAAATCCGTCCAGAGATTGAAGCAACTCTGCATCCTGGCCTAGGCTTTCACCGAGACAAAATGCAGAATGTAAACTGAGGCATGCAATTAATAATTATTCTGCCAAAGTAGGTGACATATGGTAACATTGCAAACCTGCTTGCTCTACAATATATAGTTTTACGTTTTTTTGTGGAGAATGGATGAGAGCCACGTCCGAGGACTCCATTCCAGTGCTACAAGCAAGTGTCTTCGCTTTGCGTGTTCTCCTCTGGAGACAGTTCAACGTTTAAGTTGCAGTATACAATGTCGGCAGTCAGAGTGAGTGTGCTAATTTGAGCAAACACACTAGTCACTACAGCGTTGTTGCTTTACACGCTTCAATTCCACGGTGCTAAATACGTACTACTGAAGCAAACAAGTTTAGCCACTAACTCACAGACTTTGAGTGGCTGAGATCAGGATCTGTTCGCTTCTCAAGATAAAATATGGCAACAAATCAAACCGCCTAGCGGTGTCCGTAGTTTGCTTGTGGGTATTTCGGTCTGTTGCTCCGTTATACTGAGATCGAGGAACGAGGGGGCATGACTCTGGGCAGTTATTGACTGGTTTACAGTATATATCTGGTTTGAAACTTTTCTCAGACCTCAGTCACGTGCAGAAATGCAAGCAAAAACACATATATTATAGTTTCACCATCTACGTTTACATACATTTGCGTCCACTTCAAAATTTTGCCGCGCTAAATTGTTCCTTGCGAACGTTTCGATTGGCAAGTCTTGATGCACTAGTCACTTGTCAGTCAAACGAGTCAAATAAACATATTGTCACCACCCTCATACCCAGCGAACAAAGTACGTACAGTCTACAAGGCGGCATTTTATTGGAAACACCTCTCTATAGAATTGGATGCCTAAGTTTGACTTTCTGTGAATGCCAAACCACGCAAATCGACAAAATGAGGTGACCAACCTTAAGCAGCAATAAAGGTCTGGCAAGTGGGTCTATGAAGTGACCAGATCATTAAGCTGGAACTTTATTCCTTTTCTATGAAATGACAATCAACTGAACCTATCAGTGCCCTTGGGAACATGCTTGCATGCGGGGGAAATAAGCGAAGCAAAGTCATGTGAACGACAGGTTTTTGGAAACTTTCCAGAGTAACTAGGAAACGGCCTGGAAAAAAATTACGGCAGAATTACTCCAAGAAGGGATTCTGATTTTGCCGCAGGCACCATCCTTAGGGTTTGATGGTTTGTGTCTTTTGCAGTGCGCAATTCAATGAAAGCTGAGAAAGACTTCGGATGTGCACACGCCAAGTGGCACATTGGCGCATCAAGGCCGCTGTGCCTTAGCTGCGGCGTTGTTTGGTTGATCGTTACAATAAAGAACGTTCGCACTAAAAGGATGCACAACCAGCATCTCGGTTTCGCACAACATCAGAAAAAACAGAATCCGACCACTTGTTGTCCTCAAACAGCTGATGTCATCTGGGGTTACTTGCCCTATTGTTAGTACTGCCCAATTTGAATCCTTTTGCCCTTGCTGAGCAGTCCTGATTTCGTCTTCCTTTGTCTCAACGACAGTCTCGTCCTGCAAGTGAAAACTTGTGGGAAATGAATGGATATGATGGATATGGGTGGGCCATGCTTGAAGAAAAAGGGTATATACCAGTTTCCAGTCTTGTAGGCGTGGTGCAAAAGTGCAAAATCCAGCCTCCCTAAGTGAGTGTGTGGCACGGCAAACTACATTCAGTGCCAACAGCTGCATACATAGTCTAATCATCTGCAGTCATGAATTGGTATGACATGATCTGTGTTTTTTCATGTGGTTTGAGCTTGAAAGCCAAAGCGATGCCAAAGTTGTATTCAAGACTTCAATGAATGCGGAATGTCGTCGTGTTGCGACCCACAAGATAGATACAAACTCCACGGGGCCTGCAGGATTCTCAATGGTCGACAGCGTCAGCCATGTGCTTTGTGATAAGACTGTTTGATTGATGTTGCGTGCAGGTTTTGAACATGCCGCCGGGGTGCAGTGCTTGCAATCTGGCTTGGCATAATAGGTAGCAACTTGCTGCCACTTGTATGGAGCCGGACCAATCTAGATAAGCTTTGCCATCTGGTGCCGATAGGTGCAAAATAATAACATTAGATACCATTAGTGCATAGATGCGGATAGCGTGTCTTATCCGCAGTCTGCGCGCAAAAGGATCGTGTGTATCGTTAACGAACCATTTTGAGCTACCCTGGGGAACTCTGAAACGCTCCTGTTTTCTCGAGCGTCAAAGGGTCTCATGCGGTACCGTAGTGACATGTTCCAAGCCACACACCCCGCCAACCTCGATCCAACTTAGGTGTGTGAGAGGTTTCGTGGCTTGGGAATTTCTTGTGGCCATCAACTTCAAGCCTAGCGTCCATGAGTCTCTATCATCTATAGAGCTCTGAAAAGGACCACGTGAATGTTGACGACTCAACGTCAAAAACTCTCAGTCATCTCGACCGATCCACTGATTTCATTCGAATCCTCTCAACTTCTGGCTCAATCTCTGAAGGTTCATCTTCAGGCTCTGTGTCTCGTCCTGTTCTCACTGCTCTATTGTAGTCAATCCTTCTTCGCACTGAACGATTGCGGTTTGCATCTGCTACCAGATTTGCTCCGATCTCGGTTTCCGGCTCATCCTCAACTTCTCATGACTCCTCTGAACTCTCAAAAAGATCACTTTCAATGAGATGTTCCTCAATCCACCTGTCTGGGTTCTCTGACTCCCACGGAAATTCTGCATGAGAAGAAGAAGCGTCAACGTCTTCCTCCTCCTCTTGCTCTTCTTCATACTCAACGCCTCCTCGAACATGTGCCCTGTAGAACTGGCGACCTGCCATACCAAGTCCTTCTTCCCCCAATGCAATGTTGGTGTCTGCAACTATTGCTTCACCCTCAGCGTTGATGATGGCCAAGGTTCCATGGCCATTTGTGCCAAAATCAACTGGTAACTGGGCTATCCTCTTCAATCTCAACCTCCTCTTCAACTTCTTCCAGCTCACCAATTGGCGACCTGCAACTTGGTCTGGGCGAATGTAGCCAGCCTGCGCATCCTCACTCAAGCTGTCTGTATTGTTCGAATCCGGCTCGTCCTCATCTCTAACGGCAGCTGCTTCAACACCGTCTAAATCATCATGTTCTGCGCGTGACTCCTCATCTCGGTTCAAGTCAAGTTCATGAGCCTCTGAACCAACAACATGCTCTGGAACACGCTCCTGCTCTGCTGATCCCAAAGCATGCCCTGAAGATTCCGAAGCCTCCTCTCGAATTGCGGTTTCATCCTCTGTTTGAACTCCTTGTTCAGCATGGTCTGTCGCTGTCTGAGTTTTTCCTGATCATGCTGCTCTGGTGTCTCTGTCTCTCCCCCGCTCATTGCAAGAACCCTCCGCCAAACAAATCCAGCGAAGCCAGCGAAAAGCGAAAGAACGACCGTCCACATAAATGCGCTCGCAAGCTCAAGACCCTCACAAGAATGACCTTCTGTGCCCTGAACTAAGCTCAACAACAATGCGCACATTGAGTTGGACTGCATTGCCTTGTTGGGTCCTATTGCCCCGAGCGATCCATGTGTGTTCTATTCAATATTCTCGTCTTGGTAGATTGTTTCACCGTCTCCATACTCCGTGCCATGCAAGAACATGAGCATACAATGCCTACGGAATGCCAACTTCTTTGCGCGCAAGTCTGCGGGATTGAACTTTGTGGGAACCTGATGGAAAGTGAATTCCTGCCTTTGAACCATCTGTTGAATCCACAAAAGTTTCCCTTGCAACCGCCTAACACGACATACTCCAAGCTTGTTTGCTATCTGCCTTGCTGCGCTGTTGTCTGGGATGAGCTTGCAACGCGCGTCAGCATCTTTTCTCACGAACTTCACCGATGCTTTGATGTAGAGCAAGTCGATGGCGCAGGACGTCGTGCTGTACCACTCACTTTCAGTCGGGCTCAACGCAATCAACTTCTGAGTTCTAGAAGATGAATAGGTTGGAACTCCGTTAAGAACATGTGAGCTTCCTGAAGTCGACTCGCATCCTGAACTACCTAGCCAGTCTGCATCGCTATATCTCTCGACCAAGATCTTACTTGTTTGCTGTTCTCCTCCATTCAACTTGCAAAACAAACTCTGTCACACTGTAGCTAATCAACTGTCCCAAACACTCCCAAGCATGAACCGTTCGCGTTTTGAGATATGATGCAAGTGATTTGGTCGTGAACTGCAAATCTACCCTGTCGTGACTCAGATACATGAGCGA